CCCCCATTCCCCTGACCTCTTTTCCACCCCATCAAAACATATTTCAGCATCCTGGTATTCATTTTGTCAAATTATAAGGTAGTTTTTCAAAGCAGTTATACCATTACAAAACTCCCCTGCATACACCATACATTAGACATTACATTTGTGTATGTATGCATATGTCCCTGTGTTTTTATATATGTTTATAATTTAGACCTAACTTCACACGGGAGAGAAAACATGCATGCTGTGAGGATGACATGATTTTATGGGTCATGTGATTCAAGTGCTGGGCTTTCTCATACACTGCCACCTAAACCATTGGATCTTCAAGGTCATATGGCCTAAATGACAGTGCTGCTAAACCACAGTCCAGACTTGCTATGGAGCCTTAATTCATTCTGGAATACCAATAGGTCCTATAGCCTACCATTTCACAAATAAAAGCATTCTGTTGAGTGTGGTAGCGCATACCTATAATTCCAGCTACTGGGGTAGTAGAGATCAAACAGGTCATGGTTCAAGCCCAGCCTAAGCCAAAAGTTAGTGAGACTTCATCCTAACCACTAAGCTGATATGCTGACACATCATGATCTGAGGCAAAAGTTTAAGACCCCACCTGAAAATAACTAATGTGAAAGGGGTTGGGCACATGGCTAAGGTGGTAGAGCACCTACCTCTCAAGTACCTGGCAGCTGCTCTGAGCTCAAATTGACACACACACACACACACACATGCACAAATATGAGTAAAGCATAATTTCCTAGAGCAAAATAAAATGTCTCCCCAACCTAATCATTGTTTTTGTTGTTGTTGTTAGTTGTATGACTCCTTAATAACCTCACCAGTGAAGCCTGGCACTGGTGACATACACCTGTAATCCCAGCTATTCAGGAGGCTGAGATCTGAGGATCACAATTCAAAGCCAACCCAGGCAGGAAAATCATAAGACTCTTAACTCCAATTAAATACCAAAAATGAAAAAAAAAAAAAGCTGGAAGTGGAGCTGGGCTCATGTGGTAGAGTGCTAGGTGCTAGTCGTAAGCAAAAAGGCTCAGGGACCGTGCCCAGGCCCTGAGCTTAAACTCCAGGACCAATACAAAAACAAACACCAGTAAACAAAAAATAACAACTCCAGGAATGAGACTCCAGTGTTCATGCACCCCACCAAAACAAAAACCAAACAAAAAACAAAACAAACCCTTGACCTTGTTTTTGTTTGGCTTATCAGATCTAAGTCATATAATGTCATGAATAGAATGGGCCCATGTGATCTCCTGTGGCCACCTAGATGGGCTCATGCCTTTGTAGATGATACCAGGAAAGAAGAGTCAAGTAGAGGTGACCTGGGTTAAGACAACGGAATGAGTGAGTGAAGTGCTGTGATTCATTCTCCTTTTGGTCATTACTTTGCCTTATCACTGCTGTTTTCTGGGTGCAGAAGGAACTCTAACTTGCCTGTAAAAGACTCCCAAGACCCTAGCACAGCACAGACTTGGAGCTATGTTAGATTGAGGCAGTGTAATGTCAGTGTGTGTGTGTGTGTGTGTGCGCGCGCGCGCGCACGCGCATGTGGTGGACCAGAACTCAAGAACTCATATTCTCACTAGGCTTTTCCTCTCAAAGCTGGCACTCTGCTACTTGAGCATACCTCCACTTATAGTTTTCTCATGATTATTTGGATATAAGCATCACAGATTTGTCTGCCTGAGCTGGCTTTGAACTTTGATTCTCAGCTCTCAGCCCCAAGTGTAGCTAGGATGGCAGGCTTGAGATACCAGCAACCAGATTGTATGAATATGCTTTTAAGACTGTTGGGAAAATATGTTGGAGTGTAGTTCCTGGGTTGTAGCATAAATATCCGATATATCAGCACATTGTGTCTCAAATGGCTTCATCTTTCCAGTCCTTACCAGTCAATTCCAGTTGCTCAGCATCCTGGCCAATACTTTTAATGTTTGTTCTACCATGTTTTTTTTTTTTTTTTTTGTCAGTTGTCTCCGATGACAAGTGATATGGAGAAGTTTTTCATACACTCAATGATTTGTGTAATTTCAGAGTCAATGTATTTGTTCCCACAATTTGCCAATGTTATTGAGTTGTGAGATCTACACAAATAGTGGATATTTTCTTTACCTGAAAACATACTCCATTGTCATCTATGATCTGCCTTCCATTTTCACAGCAGTGTCTTTCAAATGGCAAAAAAGTTCCTTCTGATGAAATTGGTTTTATTATTTTATGTTCCTAACTTCTAGTGCTCTGTAAAATCTTTGCCTGATCCTAGGTATTGAGGATCCTTAAAAAAATCTTTATAGGCTTAGCTCTTAAATTTAAGGTTGGATGCATTATGAATTTATCTTCACATGCAATGCCACAATCAAGATAAAAATTTTAGTGCTTGAAAATCCAAGTTTTCCAGAACATGTATTTGAAAGTTTATCCCTTCCCCACTGAATTGTTGGGCAACCTCATGTGCATTTGTATGTATAAAATCTCTAGTCTCTCTTTGATATCTGGTATCTCTATGCTTTGTGTTTAGTTAAACATCCAACCTTAGGGCAATGTCCCATTTCCTTGATTCATATAGTTTATAATAAGCCTTCAGAAATAGTATAAGGCTTTCAAGTTTTCTTATGATGGTTTTTCCACTTAGTCTTTAACCAACCTAGTATAGAGAATGCTAGTGTCCCCACTCATGTTAAACCAAAAGATGATGGAGCAGATCACTGTAAAATAGAGAAAAACTTTGGAGCTCTTCTGAGCGTAATGACCCTGATAAAATACAAGGTCAAAGTCTGAGCACTGAAGCAGATTGCTTTCATAGATATTTTACCCAGATTGCAGTAAATGGAAAACTAGTTTTCTTCAACCCCTTCCACAATTGTTGGGTTCCCCCCCACCAAGAAAAAACCTTTCAGTTCATACTCCAAATGAGAACAGAAATAGCCTGGCCAGGCAGTCAGGGCAAAGGCCTCTCCCACAGAGGCTCTGCATCCCTCACTATGGCCCTGTGTGCAGCCCTCTAGACATCACCCTAGGTCTGAGCAGTCCTGTGTGCAGACCCCTGGACATCTCATCACCATGGCCCCGAGCGGTCACACATGTAGGCCCCTGAGCATCACCCCATGCCTTATTGTTCCTGGAAGACTTGAATGTGAATGGCGGGGCTGATTGGATTCCAGAGGTGTATTGCCAAAAGAGGCACCCAATCAGAGGGGCTGAGTCTCATGCAGGCTTCTCTGATTGGGCCAGGGATCTGCTATGGCCACAGGCTATCCAATGATCTTGAGAATCACATAGCTCTCTCCTGGAGACACTTCACTAACACTTGCACACTTCACTTTCTCTTGGAATCCCTTCCATCTAGTGGAAGCTCTATTTATCTTTGTCGTCAATAAAGCTTTGCTATTTTGCTTCTCTCCCTCTGTGTCTATGGATTCATTCTTCAAGAGTACAGAGACAAAAGACCTGATCCAGGTGGTATAGTTTTTCAATATGACCAGCACCAGATAAGAAAACCTTAATGAAATAAAATAAGTAGCAGCTTGAAGCCAAGGAAAAGGGGGAGATTCAGGTGCTTGGGTTGGAGACAGAGGGCTTAAAAGACACTGGGGACTGTGAAGTCAGGGGAGAAGAAAGAAGAGAAATGGCACTGTTTGGTAAACCCAAAATGAATTCTCTATGGAGTCACCAGCTGTGTACACTATGGCTGGGATGGGATGTAGAACTTCACCCTTGATAGCAAGAAACTCTCACTAATAGTTTGAACTACGTGGCTGTTTTAGATTCTTTAAATAAGGGATCAAAGGGACTTTGTGTCTAAAGGACAAAAGATTCTATAATACTTCTGTCTCTAAAATAGCATTAAAGCTCATGCCTATAAGCCTCACTACAGAGGCTGAGATCTCAGGAGAGTGGTTCAAAGCAAACCCAATGGGAAAAGTCTATGAGCCTCTTATCTCCAATTAACTACCACAAAGCTGGGAGCGGAGGTGTGGCTCCCCTTCCAGAGGAACACATCGAGACTCAAAACAAAACAGTTGAAGGAACTGGACAGTTAGCAGAGACATGGCAACACCGGGCTTCCTGAGGTCTAGACTAATACTACCATGCACTGCGTACCCTTCATTGTCTCTTGGCTTTGTCTTCTTTGACTCCAACTTTCTGCTTATGCCAGACTTCATTTGCAAAAGGTTCTATTTCCCCAACATCAACAGTCCATTATTAATATTAGCATTAACAACATACAAAGTGGAAGAAATCCTTTTAATATTGTTTCATGCAACACAGCAATACACAGAAGGTCACATTCCATGCACTAGTGGACAGAAGCTACTAGCCAAGAATATTGATGTCTATAGATCTTCAAAAATCTACTTCAATAATTTACAAGGGTACACTAGTAACTTTTTAGGTTACACTTTCATTCAAAACAAATCCACTATGTTGAAAAGCAAAGAATTTTATTTTTTGCTTGTGTATGTGTGCCCACACCAGTCCTAGGGTATGAGCTGTCTGTCCCTGACCTTCTTTTCCTCAGGGCTGGTGCTCTATCACTTGAGCCGCAGCTCTATTTCTGGATTTTTTTGGTAGTTTATTCAAGATAAAAGTCTCACATACTTTCCTTCCCAGTCTGACTTCAAACTGTGATCTTCACATTTCAGCCTCCTGAGTAACTAAGCTTACAGGAACAAACCACTACCACCCAGCTCAAGAAAACGTTGTTGTTTTTAATCTGTATTTCCATCACTTGAGAATCCTGTTAATTCTTTGTTTTGATTTAACTTTTGGCTTTGAATTCATTTCAAATTTGAATTGCTATTATAGTATACCATATAATTTTGGACTTTGTTTAACTAACTACATATTATCCTAGGCAACAATAATGTTAGTTTAAATGGGGAACAAAAGGATTCATTTCCTTCTGTTCATTACTTGTAAAAATAAACCTTTGTTCAAAATAAAGTTCTCAATTTGCAATATGAATGATACTCATCACAGAGCCATTGTCACAATTAATGTCCACTGCCCAAAACAGAATTCTCACAAAGTTCAGAACTAAAGAAGGCAAGATGTCGCTTGAAATATTTTTTCTCTTCTGGCTGTACACAGAATTTGACTTCAATGTTTCCCTGACTGAAAGCTTCTCCTTTGGTCTCCTCCTCCAGATTCTCTCTGGGGAATGCATTCCCTTTCTTCTGGAACATTGTAATGTCTGAATCGCCCTGTCGGCCAGTTGGAGACAAAGGTTCTCTAATGACGCAAGAACAAACCGCAGACAAAAAGTTCTTCTTGAAGTTCTCATTCATAAATGCATAGACGATGGGATTGCAGATGGAGTTGGAAAATCCAATTATTTGGACGATAGCAAAAATCATCTTGATTGTGACATCATTATATTCCTTTTCAAAATTACCTGAAATAATATTGTAGTTATCAGAATTATTTGTTTTACAAAAACAAATGAACAAAAAATATCCTTTCTGTTTGTCATTGCTTTTAACCAAGGACTTGGATTTGTACAAGTAGTTAAGAATATGATAGTTCTCAAGACTATTTTGTGATTGACTTTTCCTAGATGAATAAGTTCTTTGTTCTAAGACATATTCTTAGAAAATTTAGTCTTAGGTGCATAGGTTAGTGCCTTATTAAGTTTAGGAGCTTATAACATTTCAACTTTTTGACTTCAAGCTCTGTGGAATTAGACGCAACAGCTACCTTTAAATTAACAGCTATTAAATTACAAAAGCACTAGTACCCAAGAACTATGTTCCATCCTGGCTTATCAGAGAAACACTGTTTGAATGACTAAAATCCTAGTGTCACTGATTCATCAGGTGTAAGTCCAAGTTCCAAATACAGTTGGGAATCAGTAGCTTACATCTGTAATCCTAGCTATTCAGGAGGCTGAGATCTGAAAATTATGGTTCAAAGCCAGCCTGGGCAGGTAAGTCAGTGAGACTTTTATCTTCAATTAACCACCAGAAGATCTTAGGGAGAGGGGGAACAGCAGAAAAGACAAAGCTCAAAGCTTTTCTTTATCATTATAATTATTAAAAAGAGTTCATCCTAGCTGGGCATCTACAGCTCATGTCTATAATCCTACCCAGGAGCCTGAGGTCTAAGGGGCAAAGTTCAAAGCCAACCCCAGGCAGAAAAGTCTATGTGACTCTTATCGCTAATTAACCACCAAAAAAAACAGAAGTGGAGCTGTGGCTCAAATGCTACAGCACTCTCCTTGAGTAATAACATTTAGGGATAACATCTAGGCTCTGAATTCAAGTCCCAAGACTGGCACATACGGACAAAAAGACTTAGTCCTCATCATATCAAACACTTAGTCTCAGCCATGTACAATTACCTAGCACACAATGATCCGGTGATCAAATTCACACAATGACAGATACTTTATCACTCAAGTGAATAACAGCTAATTTGATGGTTATTTTTTCATGCAAGTGAATAATCACTCATTTCAATGATTTCTTGCCTATTGTAGCAGAAAACCAGTTAGAAAGTGTCTCGAGTAAGAAGGAGAGGACCCACTGTATTCGCTCATCATGTGGACCACATGGAAAGGCGCCCAGCACACCACAAAGAGAGCCACCACCGTCACCATCATCACCACAGCTCGCTTCTTCTTCCTGAACCCAGAGAAACATTGCACTGGTTAACTCTCACTTAAATGAAGCTTGAATCTGGTTCACCCACTCATAATTGCTTCAAATGCTAAGAAAGGGCATGGTGAGTTCAATGTGTGCTGATTATCATCCCTCTCCACTGATTTTACCCTCATTCTGATATTCTCCCTATTAAAGGCCTCCTTCTGATGTGTGCTCATGATGGCTCTGGTTCTGGCACAGATGGTGGGCCTGGATGACACCATTAATCTCCTTATTAAGCCACCACGCAGTGGTAGGGACTGAGACACAGAAGAGTTATCGCATTTGTAAAGTCAGATGACTAATAAGGAATGGATTTTGGATTTGAAGGTAGGCAGCCTAACTTTAGTGACTAAGCTTTTGTTTGGTATATATTGAAAGAGATGAATACCTCTGATAGCAAAATAATAGTATTTAAATAGGCACTGGTGGCTCAGCCACTCCAAAGGCTGAGATCTAAGGATCTTGTTTGGAAGCCAGTCCAAGCTGTAAAGTCTATGAGACTCTTCTTTCAATTTAATGACCAAAAAGTTGAAAATGGAGCTGTGGCTCAAGCAGTAGAGTGCTAGCTTTAAGCAAAAAAGCTAAGGGAGAACACCTTGGCCCAGAGTTTGAGCCCTAGTACTGGCATTAAAAAAAACACCCTAATATTCATGAATATGGCATGCCTTGAGGATAAAAAAAAGAGGTGCTCTTTTATTATATGACTAAATAATCGGGCTAACCAAGAATTCAAATTGATTTTCTTCATGCCTTTTAGAAAGTGGATTCATTTTGCAAGAAATCTACATATGGGCATGGTGCTCTCGCTTAATAGAGTCCATACTCATTATCTGTCATTCCTTGCTGGTAAACGTTTCTCCTAAGGAAATGGCACAGTAAACTCAGACCCAGCCTCTGCCCACCCCCACCCCCAGACATTCCAGGGGAGATTTTCATTTCACAGACCAGGCACTAGAGGTCACTGTCCCCTTGGTGAACTGATTTTTAAAACTCATTAGGCTACTTCATAGTGAGTATGGCTTCCATTCATTTTCATCATTATTTGAAAAATAAGCCACAGTTACTTCAAGATCCATAACAGAAAAGTGTACAATAGCTTGAAATTAGATACTAATAAATAAGACAGAAGGCACAACCTTTTAGTAAAATTATAACTAGCATAGTCAGGCAACAGTGGTTCACACCTGTAATTCTAGCTACTCAGGAGGCTTAGCTCTAAGGATTGAGGTTTGAAGCCAGCATGGCACTAAAAGTCTTATCTCCAATTAACAACCAAAAAAAAAATAAACCCATAAGTGGGGCTGTATCTCAAGTGGTAGGTAACTAGTGTTGAGCAAAAAGAGTTCAGAGACAGTGTGCAGGCCCTGAGTTCAAGCCCCATACCTGGCATGAAAAATTAATTTAATTAAAATACAATAGGTAGCATGATCTGGTTTCAAAGGGTTTTCAAAAGTCATCTCATGCATTTTAGCATCGTCCTTGAGTGGCACCAGGTATGCAATTATGCATATGAGGAAAAGTGTTGCTCTAATTCATGTTGATGGCAGGCAATAGAGAAAGAAATGTCCCACGGGACCTCGGGATCCTGAAACTAGCTCTTCCTGTCATTCCATATTTACATGTGGATGATATTGCCAATGCTATCAGTTCTAAGTAAGTTTCCATCTCCAGCCCTAACTTCCATTCATTCATTCATTCATTTTTGTGCCCTTACGAGTGTTTGAACTCCCAGCTTCAAAATCTCATTTGGCTTTTCCTGCTCAAGGCTGGTGCTCTACCATTTAAGCCACACCTCCACTTCTTTTTTTAAACAGGTTAGTCAGAGATAGGAGTATCACAGATTTATCTGGCCAAGCTGGCTTCAAACTAAGATCCTCAGCTCTCAGCCTCCTGAGTAGCTAGAATTACAGGCATAAGCCAAGGACCTTGCTTGGCCTCACTTTACTTTTGACTTAAAAGCTGGTGGATTGTGCCTTTTCTTCCTGATACATATTAAACCTTACAAAGGGATGAAAGTCTGCGGATGTTCTCATTTGAAATACAAAAGCTGCTTTGAATAAATTATCTAAATTATCTGGGTTCCAGGGCAACTGTATCCTCCAGCCCAACTAATTACAACTACTTGAAACCGTGGGGAATATTTCACAGGCCAAACCTGGCTATTTTGGACATTTCCTTTCCATGGATGGTACGAAGCACAGAGCCGTCCCCCACTCTCTTCTTGATCCACAGTTCGTAGCCGATTCTGCTATAGAGGATGAGCATCACCAGCAGAGGCAGGAGGAAGAGGATCACCAGGATGAAGGTGGTGTAGATTTGCTGGCTCTTGGGGCTGGACCACTCTTCTAAGCAGCAGATATGCTCTTTCTCATACAGGAAGTCGTACTTAATCTTTACAAGGAGAATGATTCCGTGAGAAGAGGAGGGAGACAGTAGGAGATGCAGCTAGCTTGCTGTGTTCCCACACTGCCCACTGCTCCCCACCTCAGGGGTGAATTCGTTTCTCACTGTCATCTGGTGGTAAGGTGTAGCTGTGCTACTTAATGACTAAAGTTTGTAAGCGTTTTGCATTTTTGTTTCATTTTAAAGGAGATTGCGGTCTGTGCTTGTTTACTTTCAGAGTTTTTAATTGCTCCCAACATTTAGTTCTATTCATCACACAATTCATTTGACGTTCTTTTTCTTTCCATTGTTTTTGTCATCCTAGAGTCTGAACTCAGGGCCTGGAGCTTGTCTACGTAGGCAGGTGCTCTATCAATTAATTCATGCCTGTACCCCTTTTGTTTCAGTTATTTTCAGGTAGGATCTCCCAATTTTGTTCAGGTCAGCTAGATTATAGCCTCTTGTTCACAGACTTCCAGATAGCTGGGGATTATAGATGTGTGCTACCACACCTGGCCCTACTAGTCACAAAATTAATTTTAGCTTTCCAGTAGTCTCAAAAAACATAATTACTAAAGCATGCATTCAAAGTAAGAGACACTACACTGTGTTTTAAACTTTTATTTCAAACTTGGAACAGTCTGATTGCTTGTTAAGGTATTAAAAAGGTTACTGAGATTCTGAGGTAAATGAGAAACTGGACTAAAATCATAGTTCAGGGACAAAGTGAAACACATTCAAAAGCCATTACCTCTAGGTAGTAGGAATAAAAATTAGATGCTTTTAAAAAATTGACAAAATTACTATTTTAGCTGCTTGCTGGTGGGTCACACCTGTAATCCTAGCCACTCAGGAGGCTGAGATTTGAAGATCATGGTTCAAAACCAGCCTAGGCAGGAAATTCCATGAGACACTTATCTCCAATTAACCACCAAAAAGTTGGAAGTTGAGCTGTGGCCCAAGTGGTAAAGCAGTAGCGTTAGACAAAAAGCTCAGACAGCACATAGGCCCAGAGTTCAAGCCCCAGAACTGGCAAAACAAAAATAAAAACAACTACTATTTTAGTTACTCTGGAGTGAATTAACTAAGTTTCGGACATAGTTCAGAAAGCATTTCCAGCCAATTTCAAATTTCATCAATAGTCTTCCATATCAAAGGAAATGCTTAGAAAATTCAAGCTTTGATCTAGCTACTACTGACAGGTGAGACCAGGAAGGATACCATTCATTGAAAAATAATTTCAAGATCCAAACCACCCAGGAATAGGTATGAAGAATGAGAAGCATTCTGATTCCATGTAGCAGCCACTGAGCCAGGAATAAACACGCATTACAAAGCTTAGTCTCTGAGCATGTTCTCAAGAGGGCTGGGGCGACTTTTCCCCATACTTGATTTCTTACCATACATATTTATATCTATGTTACCACTGTGTAAAGTAGTATCTGAGGCTTAGATGTTAAGCAGGGCTGGTATTCTCACTTTCACCTTCATAAACATCCCTGTTCCAATCAAGGAAACCATCGCTCACTCACTCTAAATCTTCTCTCATAAGGCCCCGTGAGAGAGATAATTCAATTACTTATGTCAGTGGTGCCATCTTTAACTAAGCATCACATAGCGAGGCCTTGTGCTTTTCTCTTCCTTAAGCCTCTTTCTATTCAGGGCAAAGCCTGGTATTAGGGAAGAAAACAGCAAAGTGTGCTGGGATGTGGTGAATTCATTTTCATATAGTGAGGAGGTAGAATTGATAATAATTTCAATTTAACAGCCTCCTGAAATAACATCCCTGCACACTGTCAAATACATCATTCCTGAGAAAGAGCCCAGAGAGAACAATGCGAAGGCAGCACAAGAGAGAAATGTGGAAAAGGGCCGTGCTATGTTTATTCAAGTAAGACATCAATGCTCCACAAGCTCATGCACACTGTCACAAAATATAGGAGCCATGGGCGGCCACAGAAGGCATAGTAATGCATTTATCTCAAAAATAAAATCAGACATTTTCCTGACAGAAATAAATTCAATTGAGCCAGTCTGCGTAGCAGTAAGCACAGCTTTGCAAATTAGATTATATAATAAAAAAAGTCTGCAAATTTAATGGGATATGCATTTAAAGTATATAGTAGGAGCTGGGAGCTGGTGGCTCTCACCTGTATTCCTAGCTACTCAAGAGGCTGAGATCTGAGGCTCATAGTTCAAAGCCATCCTGGGCAGGAAAGCCTGTGAGACTCTTACCTCCAATTAACCACCAGAAAACAGCAAGTGGCACTGTGGCTCAAGTAGTAGAGTGCTCACTTTGAGCTGAAGAGCTGAGGGACAGTACCCAGGCCCAGAGTTCAAGCCCCACAACCGACCAAAAAAAATATATATATGGGTAAAATTATTGATTTATCAATTATTGATTTTATTATTTATTTTATTGATTAATTGATGGTGCCATTACTAAAGCTTGAACTTGGGTCCTGGGTGCTGTCCCTGGGTACTCAAGGCTAGTGCTCTGCCACTTGAGCCAAAGGTCTACTTTCTGGTGGTTAATTGGAGATAAGAGTTTCTTTTTGCCTGAGCTGGCATCCAACTACCATCCTCAGATCTCAGCCTCCTGAGTAGCTAGTATTACAGGCATGAGCCACTAGTAGCTGGCAAATAATTTTATTTTTTATTTAGTCTTTTATTTTTTTAGTCCATCTCATCAAATGCTTCAGAGAGAAGGGCTGTGGGTGTGGAGACAGGAAATTAAGATATCAACCACAACCATCTTCACATGAGGCTCACAATTAATTCAAGCTGAGGGAAGAGCAAAGTTTTATATTGATTGAGAATGTGATTTATGAGACAGGCCTGAACAGTTTTTAAATGAAACTAACACTTTTCTGCTGATTGAAAGTGACCAGAGGTATTTAATTATCTAAAGGGCAGGCTCAAAGTTTTCACCCATGACATTTTACCATAACTGGAAAACCTTCAGCAGACGACAACAGAAAGACTAAAGTAGCTTTCGTACCTACAGAGTTGAACTCATTCCATATCCACACACAAAATGAAATCAGACTTCTTTATTATTAATATTAATATTATTGTCTTTAAGCCACTATACCAGGGGGTTTCAATTCAACAAGTCAGGTCATGAGTATAATGTGTCTTGATGAACGTCACCCCTTCCTTCTTTCTCGCCTATCTCTCTCAACTTTGGGCTATTCTTTTTGTGAGCCAGGCTTGAAGCTTGAATTCAGGGCCTCAGCACTGTCTCAGAGCTTTTTTGCTCAAAGCTTAGTACTCCAGAAATTGAACCATAGTTCCACTTCTGATTTTTTGGTGGTTTGTTGGTAATACAAGTGTCATGGACTCTCCTGACCAATCTGGCTTTGAAGTGTGATGCTCAGATCTCAGCTTCCTGGGCAGCTAGGATTACAGGCTACTTTTTCTTTTTCTTTTTTTAATTTTTTTGTCGGTCATGGGGCTTGAACTCTGGACCTGAGCATTGTCCCTGAGCTCTTCAGATCAAGGTGAGCACTCTACCACTTCAGCCACAGTGCTACTTCTGGCTTTCTGGTGGTTAATTGGAGATAAGAGTCTTATAGACTTTCCTGCCCAGGCTGGCTTTGAACCACGATCCTCAAATCTCAGCCTCTTGAGTAGCTAGGATTACAGGTGTGAGCCACTGGAACCCGGCTGGATTACAGGCTACTTTTAAACTGTTTTTACCCCACATCTCCTTCCGTATGCCTCTGAGATGGGTGGCATGCACAGCAAAGCCTCAGATCTTCTGTCTGCCTTAAAAGACACAAAGGAGCTAGGCATCAGAGGCTCACACCTGTCATCCCAGCTTCTTAGGAGCCTGAGATTTGAGAACCGCAGTTGAAGGCCAGCTTGGGCAGGAAAGGCCACAACACTCTTATCTGGAATTAACCACCAAAAGACTGGAAGTAGAGCTGTGGCTCAAGTGGTACAGTACTAGCTTTAACCAAATAAAATCCCAAGGACAGTGCCCAGGCCCTGAGTTCAAACCCTAGGACCAGCAAAGAAAAAGTTAAAAATGAAAGATGCAAAGGGATGCATTGTTTTAAAGATTGTCTTCTGTATATAATGTCCAACTGTTCTTGAAGACTCCTGTGGGCATTAGGTAACCTTTACAAGATGCAGCAAGCACACCCAGTGGCCACGGTGGGCTGTCCAGAATCACCATGCTGCTTCTGGGACTGTAAATCCCCACACATGTCTGGGCCTATCAGAAACACCGGTGGGAGAAGGAAAGTGACTGGATAAGATAACCTCCCTGCCCCCCCCCGATCCATTTCCAGTTCAAATTTCAGTTTTTCAATAAATAGGAGACCGGTAAGAAAGGACTTCATGAAAACAATCAAGTAACAAATGGATAGAGATGGCGGGGAATGACGAAAGGGTGAGGCTGATCATGATGCATTATGCTTATAAACCGACGTGCTGAGTTCACATCCCTGTGGGCACAGCTACTTAGTGATAATAAAAATATATTCTAAAAATCCTAACAAGTGCGGGCACTAGTGGCTCATGCCTGTAATCCTAACTATTCAGGAGGCTGAGATCTGGGGAGCCTGGTTCAAAGCCAGCGTGTGCAGGGAAGTCCTTGAGACTCTTATCTCCAATAAACTACTCAGAAAAAAAAAAGTGGAAGTGGAGCTGTGGCTCAAGTGGTAGAGCACTAGCCTCAAGCACAAAAATCTCAGAGACAGCACTCAAGGCCTGAGTTTAAGCCCCAGGACCAGCATACATAAAAAAAGTCCTAACAAGAGGACAATCTATTACAATGAATTTTCTATGATTAAAAAGTAAAGGAAAAATCTACAGTAAGCACTGACCTCTTAAAATCCAACATGACATGGAGGAGCACTAGGAAAAACATGTTTAGTTTGCAGGAATTTATAGAAAGTGGTCTTGGAGCTTTAAAAAATCATTTATCACAAGCATTCAACATCTTAATACAATAATCAAGAAGAGCTAGCAAAAATATAAGGGAAAGCCATCTTAAAACGAATTATTTTATTTCCCTTGAAATAACATAAAGCCCATACACCCAAGTTTCTGTCATGCTCTTGAAGAAACCAACATGATTGAGAGAGGATGGAAAAGGTTTCAGCGCTAGGATTGCCAATCCCAGCTCCGCATCTACCTCGAGCCGCTGCACATGCAACATGGGCGATCCCACGATGACAGCCACCAGCCAGACCACACCTGTGAAGATGCCAGCAGGACGTGACTCAGATGAGGACGTGTGCTTAACTCCAGAGCCAGCAAAGCTCCCCAACCTCGGAAGCCACCCTCCTCCCCCGCGCCCCCTGAACCTCCTCTGTCCCTGGGCAATGCAATGATTGCCTAATAGAGTCTCAATTCTTTCACCAACATTCCTGCAGGACAGTCCTCCTAAAACTTTCTGTTTTTATGGCTCCACAGTCCCTAAGTTCTTTTGCTCAAGTCTGGCGCTCTAACGCTTGAAAGCCACAGCTCCACTTATGGCTTTTTGGTAGTTAATTGGAGATATGCAGCTCATGGATTTCTCTGCCTGGGGTGACTTAGAACCATGACCTTCAGATCTCAGCCTCCTGAATAGTTTAGCATTGCAGGCATGAGCCACTGGTGCTCAGTCAATATTTTCCTATTTAAAAAGCAAACACTACTTCAGAAACCAGTATGCCCTTTGCACATTTCTTCTCCTTCCTGAGTTTGTTGAGCATAGTTGTTTTAATGATGTATACTTAGCAAAGAAGGAAAAATGTAGTTAATTACCAGAGAGTATTTCAATCAGTGAATCTTAACAGACTCAAAAGAGAACAGAACCAAGGGCCTTGACTTTGATTTGGGAGAACTGTTAAGCTCGTTCAATCTTTCTTTATTCAGTGGCATCATTAAGAAAACTCTGTATTGCTTTGGGCTTCAAGAAACTGAGAATCAACACATAAGAAGAATAGGAAGAAATATATGAGCCAGGTGCTGGTGGCTCATGCCTGTAATCCTAGCTACTCAAGAGGTTGAGATCTGAAGATCACAGTTTGAAGCCAGCCCGGACAGAAAAGTCCATGGTAATCTTATCTCTAATTAACCAGCAAAAAGCAAGAGAAGTAGAGCTGTGGCTGAGGTGGTAGAGTGCTAGTCTTGAGCAAAAATAAAGTTCAGGAACAGTTCTCAGTACCTGAGTTCAAGCCTCAGGGATAGCACCAAAAACTGAATTAATAAGAGTAGTAGTAATAATAATAATTTTAAAAAACAGTTTGGGAATTGAAACAATATATCCAAAATGATAGCTTTTCAATGTTGGGGCAGACCTGAAGTAGAGAGAGAAGGTGGGTGGGGATGGGAGCAAATAAGAAGAGGTCTGGAATGCTGAAATTATGCTTTAATACATATAGGTTAATTGAGAAGATACCCTTCAGCTGTACACATACAGTTCTCTTTGTTCTAAAAGAAAGATTGGCCTGAGGACTCAGACAAGCCCAGCAGTCTCACCAAGTGATAACTGTGTTCTGACATGTGCCCTGAAAGCTTACATGTTAAGGCCTGGTGTCAGCTCATGGACTGCCTCCTCCTCCTCCTCCTCCTCTTCTTCCTCCTTTTTCTCCTCTTCCTCCTTTTTCTCCTCTTCCTCCTCCTTCTCTCTCTCTCCCCTCCCTCCCCCCTGCCCCCTGCCTGTGTGTGTGTGTGTGTGTGTGTGTGTGTGTGTATGTGTGTGTATGTTCTGGTCCTGAGGCTTGAATTCAGGAACTGGGTGCTGTCCTTGAACTTTTATTTTTGCTAAGGCCTTCTACCACTTGAGCCACAGCTCCACTTCTGGTTTTTTTTTGTTGTTTGTTTGTTTGTTTTGGTAATTAATTGAATAAAAGAGTTTCACAGACTTTCCTGCTCGGGCTAGCTTCGAACCACAGTTCTCAGATCTCAGCCTCTTGAGTAGCTAGGATGACAGGCTTGAATTACCAGCACCTAGCCAGCTCATAGGCTTTTGAGAGGTGATTAGATCACGAAGCCTCAAACTCCACTGGTGAACTGATTAATGAATTCCTAACCAAAGGGACTATGAGGCAGAGGCAGTTGAGCTTGTTTAGAAGAGGTAGGTACCAGAGTGGGGAAGTGTGTCATTGAAGGGTATATCTTGTCCCCAGACTCTTCTCCTTTGTATTTCTGCCTCCCATCCATCAGGAGGTGATCTATTTAATACCCATCCCCACCACTTACTATGATGCTCTCTAACCAGACACAGGTACCAAGCAACTCAGCCAAGTGCACAGATGGAAACCTCTGAAGGGCTTCCACTTTTAGGTTGTTTAGCTGAGACATTTAGTCCCCATGAGGAAATGTGGTCAACGCACCTAGCATGGTGAAAGCCCTCCGGTTTGTGTACTGCCACTTCATCTTAAAGGGATGGACCAGCCCCTGGTGCCGCTCCAAAGCAATACAGGTCATGGTGAGAATTTCGGTCACCACGGCAGTAGACTGGACAAATGGTACCATCTTGCAAATGAAGGCACCTGCAACAGAGGAACAGGATAGGTCACACAAAGGAAGAAGCAAAGCGTGATCTTCCTTTGTAATGATCACAGTTCCATTTGGAGGCTCCTGTTCCAGGAGTTTCATGACTAATACTGCATTGGAGAGCCACCACAGTTGAGAAAGATTATACCCACTTTACTCTTGGCAAAGACTCTAAATTCTTAGGTACTATGTGCAATTACATGTAACAAAATAGTGGAAAGACAAATCAGTTTTAGCTACTGGTGATATGTAAGGGGACAAATGATCCATGTGATCATTGTTTGGGGAAGATCAAAGTCAATGTGAAATGGTCTCCTGGGATTTAAACTATATCTTCCTTTTTGATTCCCTGTGAAATCATAACAAAGGAATAATTTTCATCAAAGACTTCCAGATTTCCTTTTTCGTGTCTAATACTTCTTTGACTGACTCTCTGTCTAAAACTTTCAAATATTTCTTTATAATTTTTTTTGTTTCTTTTTTTTGTGTGCCAGTCTGGGGTTTAAACTCAGGGTCTGGCTGCTGTCCCGGAGCTTTTTTGCTCAAGGGTAGTGCTCTGCTATTTGAACTACAGCTCCTTTTCCAGATACTCGGGACACTGTGCTCCCAGGAAAACAGTTCAAAGCCACCAGCTGGAGCAGGAAAAGACCTGAGACTCATCCCTGATTAACCAGCAAAAAGCCAGAAGTGGAGCTGTGTGTGGCTCAAGTGGTAGAGTTCCAGCCTTGAGCAAAAAAAGTTAAGGAATAGCACCCAGGTTCTGAGTTCATGCCCCAGTACAAAAACCAAAACAAAAAGACTACAATAGTGTGTTTCACTTGCTGTATTAGGAGCAAATGCTTTTAGTATCAAATGCCTATGAATTCCGTCTTTAACTGCTGAAGACATCTTCATTTCCCAAAACCCAAACCTCTAACTCTCACCGAGAGTGGTGTGCAGTCTCCTTCCTCCTCTGGCCTCATGCTTTTTCAGAGCAAGCCTCAGTAACAAAACAACAAGGCCTCTTTGTTCTTGAACAAAATATTTGGCTATTAAAATGATTTGGGCAGTATTTTTATTCCTTGTAATCTAATAGAGACTGTAAAAAGGATGTAAGTGGACACAATTTAAAAAGAATGTAGCTATTTTGAGAAAAGATTTAAAAGGTTGGTGTTTTTTTCAAAAGGACATAATGAACCATAATTATAATCATTCTAATTTTTTAAAAAATTTCATCTAAGGTTAGTGAAAAACACTATGAATAGCTATTTGTAGGATTTTACAAAGGAGGACTACTTTATATAATCACTGTATCAAATAATAACATAATCTGGCCTATAATGTTTTTAATTAGACCATATTCAAATGCTCTGCAGACTTTGACCAGCAAGTTTCTAGTTTTGTCCTGCATAATCCTCAGGAAACTATTAATGAGTCGATTTTAAACTAATGAATAAATCTTAAACTCCTGTTTCATTCCCCAGGACCACATCCTGTGGAAGGGGAGTAAGGAACATATTAAATATCATTCACACTAGAACTGTTATGCCCCATGTGGCTGAGACGCAGAGGGGGGCGGGGCTACAGAACTCCTCAGCTGGAAAACCTCCCTAAAATTGAGCCACCTGTCTGATGGTTTTCAGTTGCTGCCCTGGGTAGCAGTGTACTACACTGCAGGGCAATGTTACTGCAGCCTCAAAGGGAGCTGCTCAGCCCAGATGCAGAGAGGAAGAAAGGCCAGGCTTGCCTTAAGAGGAACAGCTCCAACTGTGTTCTGTGGTCATTAGAGCTCCAGCTTGTGACTTAGGAACTTCCTGCTAATGTCCTCCTAATGTGTAGTTGGACAGGGAAGAAATTTGTCCATGGAAAGTAACAATAAAAGCATATTTGGGGGCATGACAGGAAGGGGACATAGTGGCCTCTGTTTCTTAGAGTAAAGGAAAATGCAGAAAAGTCCTACAGCTGTCAGGGGTCTAGAAGAAGAGATGCTAAAGAGAATACAGTAGGTCATTTGCAAGCCAAGTAATAAGCCACTTTTCTCTGGTGATTCTTTGCTGAAGGCATAGAAGGAGACAGACACTGCCTAGCTAGGAAGAGGACACTTAACTACCAAGTAAGAAGAGACAGAGATGAAAGAAGTATTTCAGGAGAGAGGAGGTAGGCACTGCCTCAGAGAAAGGGGTAGGTAAGAGCAGGGTTCCTATCTGACCATGCTGCCCAATGGAGCAACTTTTCCTAGAAGCCTCAGCATCCTGCCTCTGTCCAGGTCTGGGATTCAACATCTGGTCCATGTGGGTGTGGCCTGTTGCCTGGCAACAGGCTCAGCTCCATGCACATCTTTAGGTCAGCAATGGTTACAAATGAGACCAAGTTGACTGAAGTCAGAAAGGAGTGCTTGCTACATCACCATTGCTGTGATATACAATGTTCTTGTCATTTTCTCTTTTATTTATTTGTGCTGGTTCTGGGGGCTTGAACTCAGTGCCTTAGCGTTATCCCTGAACTTTTGTGCTCAAGGCTAGTGCTCTACTGTTTGAGCCACAGCCCCACTTCTGGCTTTTTTGATGGTTGGTGGCAGGTAAGGGTTGCATGTACTTTTCTGCCCAAGCTGGCTTTGAACCACAATCCTCAGATCTCAGCCTCCTAAGCAGCTAGGATTACAGGTGTGAGCCACCAGCACCCAGCTTTCTTTCTCTTTATTAATTGAAATGGGACAACTGCAGATTCATACACAGTTGTAAAAATTAAATGAAAAGATTCCTTGCACACTTTATCTAGTTTCACACAATAATGATAACACTTCTCCTCAAAACAGTACACATTACAACAAAGGCACTGATATTAGCCTAATGCACTGATTTTGTTCAGACTGCCTAGTTTTATTTGTGTGGATAGTGTGGGATTTTATTTCCTGCCAAAGTTTGGGTAACCACCATCACAGTGAAGATATTGAAGAAAAGCAACAGAAAGGTATGTGGCTTCTATAATAACCACAGCTATATCTATCCTCTATGAGCTCTTCTCTGTCCAGAATCCCTGTCCAAAATCTAATTTATCTTCTACTTCTTGGCTCATTTAAAAAAAATTTGTATAAACTAGGGCCAGTGGCTCATACCTGTAATCCTAGCTACTCAGGAGGCTGAGATCTGAGGATCTCAGTTGGAAGTCAGCCTAGACAGACAAATCCAGGAGACTCTTATATTCAATGAACCAGAAAAAAGCCAAAAGCGGAAGTGTGGCTCAAGTAGAAGAGCACCAGCTTTGAGTGAAAATGCTAAGCAAGAGACAGAAGTCTCAAGTTCAAACTCCAGTACCAAAGCAACAATAATAAAACGGACATTATATACATGGAATCATTGCTATGAACTATTTTTCCTCCTCAAATTTTCCTGGAGACTCATCCAAAAGGGTTGCATTTACAATAGTTTGTTCTCCTGTTAGAGTTGTGTCCATCTGCTTAGCTATTCACCTACTGAAAGTCGTTTGGGTTGAGTCCAGTTGTGGCTACAAATCAATTATCAACATTTGTGTACAGAAAACAAGTTTTCATTTCTCTGGGATAAATGCCCTAAATTTATTTCTGAGTTGTGTAATTACTGTGTGTTTGGTTTTAAGAAAACTTCCTCAACTGTGTTTTAGAGGGGTTGTGTCATTTTGCATTTTTTGTTGGCCATGTGTAAGGGACTGGAGTTCAGCACAGCCACCCCAACATCCTTCCTCTACTCTGAAAGATGTGCAATGCCTCGGGTGAATTAAATTACACTTCCTTGGTGACCAATAATGCTAGACTTCCCTTGTACTTACCAGCCATCTTATATCTTGGGGCTCATGCCTGTAACCCCTGCTACTCCAGACGCTGAGATTTGAAGATGACTGCTCAAAGCTAGCCTAGGCAGGAAAGTCTGTGAGACTCCTATTTTCAATAAACTATCAAAAAGCCAAGGGCTGGGAAGGTGGCTCAGTGGTAGAGTGCTTGCCTTGCATGCTTGAGGCCCTGGGTTCAATTCCTCAGCACCACATAAGCAAAAAGAAAAAAGCCAGAAGTGGCACTGTGGCTCAAGTGGTAGAGCACTAAGCCTTGAACTGAAGAGCTCAGGGACAGCGCCCAGGCACAGAGTTTAGGCCCCACGACTGGACCCCCCCCCAAAAAAAGCCAAAAGTGCAACTATGACTCACATGGTAAAGAACAGTAGCCTTGAGCACAAAAAATCAAGGGATGGTGCACAGGCTCTGAGTTCAAGTCTCTGGACTGTCACAAAAATAAATTCTCTGTATGTCTTTGTCTATTTTCTCTAATTGGAATACTTGTCTTTTGCCATTAAATTGTAAGGTTTTTTAGTTTTTGTTTTAGGGTCTTTTTGCTAGAATAAGAATTGAACTCAGAAATGGAAAGACAGAGGGTGAACAAATACAGCAGTGGTACTCACTAGATACTTTGTGAAACATGAACCATACAATTTGTGCATGGGTACAGGAGGGAAAAACTTGGAGAGAACAAGGGAGGGGTGACATGGTACAAAAAGAAATATACTCATTACCTGATTTATGTAACTGTAACCTCTCTGTATATCACCTTCATAATAACAATAAAAAAATTTAAACTTGAACTCAGAGACACATGCTCAAATTCTCTGCCACTTAAACCATGCCCCAGCTATTTTCAGTTTAGTTTGGTCTAGTTTATTTTTCAAATAGTCTCTGGCTTTTTGCCAGGGAGGTCTCAAAAAAACACCCTTTTACCTCTGCTTCCCTCACAGCTGGGATTACAGGTGTATTCCACCATGCCTGGCTTATCTGCGAGATAAGAGTCTTGCTAGCATTTTTGGTTCTTCTTTGTCTGAACTGAACCACTGTCCTCCTGATTTTCACCTTCCAAGCAGCTGGGATCAAAAGCATGCACCAGTGCACCCAGTCCTAACTTTCAGTAGTTCCTTACAGAATCTAGGCATTGCATCTTTTGTCAGACATGTGCTTTGTAAGTATCCCTCTCCCTTACCCTGCAATCTGCAGCTTGCTT